TTTAAGTCCATGGCTTTTTGAGGCAACTTGACAGTTTCTGCTTGCCCACCCTCAAGGATGATCCAAAACAGACAAATCCATCTGCTTGGAGTGAGTACCGTGGCGAGAGGGTGCTTGAGTTTCAGTAAATATAGCAGAAGCTTTTATATTAGATTATCACCACTCTGCTTTCTGTTGGACTGTTTTCATTCTGCTCAAGCCACGAAGGAAGGGGCCAATTTTGTAGACAGCTAGTTCTGAACTTTGGCAAGGGTGCGTGCTGCCAGCTAAGGCGAGGCCACCAGAGCGAGGACATCATTAATCCTCAGTCGGTTGGAAATAAACTCTTTTTCTGCTCCTCTCTACCTGTAGACACAGGTAGATTCAATTTCAGCTCTTGATTTTTAATATGACGCGCACAAAAAGGAAGTTATTTTATACAAATAGGTGATGGTTATTTGCCAGCTTGAAGTGAATAAGAACCCATCTGTGTTTTATAACTGCTATCCAGAGATCTGAGCCAGAGGTCAGGCCAGCAATTCCCTGGCAGCTCAAATCTGTGTTAAAAGATTTCAAGGTGTAAAGAGCACTGTTTGTTTACTAACCTTTTGTCATTCTAGTCATGTTGCAACTGCCTAGTGGTGTTGTTAAGACCTTTTTCCATGCTTTTTCAGGCCAATAAATTTTTTTCCAAAGCCTTAGTCATCCCTGTTCAGTAGCATGTTTGTATCTACTTTATCACACTGAAAATCTGTCTGTTTTGAAAGGATTACAACTCTGTACATCAGTGCATGACATCACACTGAGACATTGCTTAATGATCTGAGACTCTGATGGCCATTGCTACGGCTGCTTGTTTCTGGAAAGATGTGACAGCTCTGGCCTACCTAAGCCTTTCTTACAGTTGCATTTTCAGCCCGTGCTGGTGGTTGTTTTAAAGTGTTTTAAAGCTGCGCTCACAAAATAGCTGAGTGTGAAACGTGCCATCTGCACATGGAAGGCAGTGGGGCGCCAAGCAGAGATGCGATGCAAGGAAGCCCAGCCACTTTGCAACCCAAGTTAACTTAGGCCCTAAAAGTCCTTCCATGGTTCTTTTTTCTTTTAAGAACTTTTAATAATGAATAATGACAGCACTTTGAAAGAAGAATGTCACCTGCATCCTATGCTAGGAGGTGCTAATTGTCTCCCATAAGTTCACACGCATCCTGTTATTAAGTAGGCATAGGCAAAGGCTGTCTGGGCAAGCTGTGCTTACTGTAGAGGGTTGTAATTCCAGTTTTGCTAAAAAGTTTAAAGCCAGCATAGGTCAAATCTTCAATAAACTTTGGATGGATTTCAAGCTAAACTCCTCCCTTCCTGCTCGTAGTCCTGAATTCTTTGAGGTGAGTTTGCCTTCAGATTTTCAGTTCGTTTGAATTAAAAGTTGAACAAAACATGGTGCATTTAGTTGAAGTTTTGAGGGCTTGCACCATAAATTTGCAAAAGTCAAAAGGGAGCTTAAGCAGCAGGAACACCTGCAGCAGTCTGTTGATATGACCCCACCTTTCTTGGATGAATTAATCCAATAAGTCAAAATTCATTTAGGTTTAGACTAGCTAAGGACTCTTCACACTGGATTTAACTTGTTTAGATCTGTCCCAAGGGATAAAGATGGGACTTACATAAAGAGCTGTAGATAGAACATCTCAGGACTGAAAAGGAATAAAGTTAGGTTTGCACTTTTAGGTTTGCACTCCACAAGTTGATTTGTGACAGTTTTTTGTTATGATTATGATTTTTGCATTGCCCTCCTTCTGGAAGTAGGAATTGTTGGCTGGGTGTTGAATGAAATATCAAGTGCATGTACCAAGTGTTCCCTGAGCACAGTGGGAGACATCAAAAACACAGCAAAAAAGCACCGATGATAAAATGAACTGGATGAATAGAGGCATGAAAAAAAATGGGAGACAGCATGGCAAGCCAGGATGGAGATGTGCAAGCTTTTGCTGGTGGGAAAGTTAGGGCAGCTGAATCATTTAACCTAGAGAATCAGAACAAGGTTGAGAAGGAAATGGAAATGAAAGGAAGCCGATGTGAAATATAGTCTAAGCCCTCAAACAATCTTTTCTTAAAAGTATCTTAGCCCCTGCTTAGCTGCCTGCCTTTACCCTTTTCTTCTTCTAAATAAAAATGTTTATTTTTTTTTATTATTATAAAACTGCTGGCTTGACCTCACTTTCTGTGTCTTGCAGACTTTTTGAGCACAAAGAAATTCGAGTAGATACAGAAGTGGTTTTGTCTTTTAATTTAGCTCGCTCTTTTCTGTGAAATAGTCCTTTTTTTAGAATTCACTTCTTTTGAAATTTTCTAAATTAGGGTCATGTCCCTTACTTTTCAGATAAAATAGAAATATTGTTAAAAGATTTATCTTTGCTGTTATCAGACCTTTTAATAACTTTGAATAACTTTTCTTAAATCAGCTTGACTTCTTTTACTTCTTTTTTAATTTTCTTTTTCTTTTTTTTATGTTTTGTAATTAGAATAAGCTCTGCTTAGGTCTGAAGACAAGTTAATCATAAATGCCAGGATCCTCCTTGTCCTTTGTTGTTCCATCTCTGCAGTGCAAAGGGTGTCAAATGTGTGCGTTTGCTGTTTGGGAGGAGACATACATTTTGGCTTCATGACATGGACACTGTGCATTTGCTTGCTGTTCCTCTGTTGATGTAATTGTTTTAATGAATAACAATCACAAAATGTGAAGAAGTCCTCAGATCTGTAGTAACCCTTCCAGTAGCCCATTTAGGGGATGGTAGATTGTGTCTGTTCCTTATAATCCACAGGGTTTAGTGCAGTACTTCAGAGGTTTACTTTCTGTTTTTGTCTGCCGTTGGATAATTGCTCCAGTGTCACTTTTGCTCTGTGATCTCTTACCGTTCAAAACAACCTTGATGAAGGAAAGCTGATTATTGACTGATCATCTTGAGTACTTCATGGTGCCTCTATGTGCTTTCCTAGTAATTTTGCACTGAAGCTCAATGGAATTTCTCTTTCAAAATGTTCTCGTACCTGAAATACTAATACTTAAAGTATCTTGCTACATTTAAGTGCAATTTATCTTACAGAAAACACTGTCTGTGTAGAAAGTATTGGATTGCTTGTTTGTTAGATTGACAATGCCAGTTTTAAAAATCAACAGACCATTTGAAAGTATTTTGCATGTCTTCTACTGGATTGTGATGATTACCTTTAAAATGTGCAGTATATGTCAATGCATGGAGAAAAAACACAAGTGGTTGTATAGTAAATCAGGGTAGAATTTGACAATAAAGAATAAATTTACATAACATAAAACTGCAAAATGAGATAAGCAGTTACACAAAATTAAGTTGAATTAAGGAAATAGAGTTAGCAACACACCTACAATGAAGTGGAAATTTTGAAAGTGCTCTGATGTTGCATTTCCACCTCTTCTAAATAAAGCATTCTTTAACTGTACTTTTCAAAATGGAAATTTGCACAGAGAAGTTGACCTACCCTACAAATAAAGCATTTCTTAAAGCTCCCATTTGAAAAAAAAAAAAAAATGAAAGGAAATACTTCCCTAAATTCCTTCCTTTTCTTTGCCTTTGGTTTCAAAGAAGAGGGAAAAAAACCCCAAACCTCTTCAAAAATTAGCCTTTGCTAGAACCATGCTATTTTTTCTGTTTGGCCAACCAAACACAGATAAGCTCCATTTAATGGCCCTGAAAAGAGTGGGAGGTAACGTCTCAAACACCTACAGCCTCCAATCCACTGCACCTACCAGTCCCGAAAGACATGGAAAACAGTCACAAATGGACTCCATAATTGTCTCTTTTCATAGGAGAGAAGACATGGGATATAAATTCACTGTGTTTTATTGTACCCTGTGTCCAAGAACAGGAATCTGTGGAATTGCTTTCCATTGTCTCCCTGCAGATTTCCCTTTTGAAACAAACTAATAGCTGACCGTTCCTCATCAGCTCTTTTGAAATAGACAATGAAATGCAGGGTTTAAGAAGGCTGTAATAAGAGATTAAAATGCTTCTGGTTAGTCTTGATATAATATATTTGTTTGTCAGGCTTCCTGTGATTCCCACATTAACATGTTTGAAATATGGTGAGGGTTGTGGGGGTCGGGTGGGAGCCACACAGCTGGAAAAACAGCAAGGAGATTAATAAATATCCACTTTCCCTCTGCCCTGTGAAATAAACCATTCCTGCGCATATTTCATTATGGTTTCACAGAAACCTGTGCTATGGAGAGCAGATTACCTGTAGTAGGTGTTGTGGAAAAATGGATGCTTTTCAAGAATTCAGCGTTCTGGGGGTGCTGGTAGGCAGTGGTACCTCTCGGGCTGAGCCCTCCCCAGCCCCACAGTGCCCATGGGGCGTCAGCCCGCGCCAGTCTGCTGCCCGAAAGAGTTCCTGCCTACGGCTCTGTCAAATGGATTGCTTTTCACTGGCTCCCAAGCCTTTCAATGCTTTCAGACTGATCAGTTTAAAAGACTTGTTAAAAACACAACTAAGGGATGACAGGCATTATTGATTAGGGAAAATAATCACATTTTATATAAGTAGGGCCTTCAGACATTGTAATGAATTTGATGTAAATAAAGCTCTGACAGTACTACAGTTTATTGATTGGGAACAAGTGTCTTTCATGTTTATTCAGCAGCAGAGATCATCAGGACTTTTGTCTTAATTTCCCTTTATGTTAAGTCTGACACTAGTGCGTCTATTCCTCTGCATTTCTAGGAGTAGCATGTCCTGAAAAGATGCCAGCAACTTTTGATGATTTTTAGGAGTAGCCTCATTTGTCTTACCTTTACACCATCTGAAGTTTCTGTAGAAGTCAAACAGCATTAATAATTTAAAAAAAACTAAAGATCTTTGTACTACATGGTTTGAAATTATTTTTATGTCTGTACTCCTGCACCATAGTAGCAGTGCTGTGCTAAGAAATTACAGTCACAGATGGCAGTTCCCAAGTATATTGACCATTTCCATCCTCCCTCTTTTAGCAACAGATCAACCCCGAACAATCACGACCGGATACAGCGCCTGAGACAAGAGTTTCAGCAAGCAAAGCAAGATGAGGACGTGGAAGACAGGAGGCGTACTTACAGTTTTGAGCAGCCATGGGTAAGTGCACGGACTCCGTCAAATTTGGAAAGGTTCCCTAGCTCCCGCTGTCCCTGGGCTGGCCGGGAGCAAAGCGATAGGGACGCAGGGTCCCCTGCCTCCAGACTTCTGCCCTTTCTGTTATCCCCATTTTTAGTTCATTGATGTTTATTTTTAAATTTCTTCAGCCATCTGTCCTGTGTGCATATAATATTATTTGCTCTGTGTTTAGACCCTCGACTCTGTGAGTAACTGCTTGGGATTTTTTTGCCTCAAAGGCAGTATCAATTATTCTGAAATTTTCTAGGAAAATACGAATAATACACGTACTAATGATAAATAATTTAGAAAGCACATGTAATCTTGTAAATGGTATTTTCTCTGAAGCAATATCACTGTGATTAATTCTTTTCCTTAACAGGAGAGCTGTGTATTTTCACAGTAAAAAAGGAGAGATATGCATAACAGCATGCTTCACAATGGTACCCTTTGCCACTTATATTAGCCAAGACAGTTCTGTCTGGAGATATACGTCCTAATTGATCATTTAAATCCTGTCCAATATGATCTAGCGATGTGATACAATTATGTAAATCCATGTGCTTATCTTGTTTAACATAATTGAATGAATCAGTGTTGCTTTTTAATCAATTTCATATCCTAAATTAGGATCCTTTAAATACGGGACAAATATTTTATTGTATTTTTGTTTAAAAATCTGCAATAAAGACGGTGGACAATTTGCTTACATTTCCAAAAAAGTGGGAGCTGTATGATGACAGTGGTAGAATTTCTCAGAGCTCTGAAATAAGTGTAGGTGGTGGCTTGTTGTTACTTTGCATTACGATGCACACGAGACCAAGGTGGAAATAGCTGAAGATCTGCAGCTGTGTGTGTGACATCACTGAGAGCACGCTAGGTAACATCATAGTGCATATGACATCTTTGGTTGCCTGTTGTGTGGATATAGAGGATTTTTGGACTTTTCTTGGATCTTTGTGTCCTTGTCCATCTTAAACTCACCCATTTGAACCCGTGATATTTTTGACATGCAGCACGCAGAGGAACAAAGGTAAATGTATCCCTAAATGATCTGATGCTGCTTAAGATACTGTATCAGAGTATAGGCTTCTCTTTTCCCATGTTAGAAAACCTCTAACCTTCTCTGAAATTGAATAGACAAAATAAAAATTTTTTTTATGACGAGATGTTTTTGATTTGATGTGGCGAAGATGGTGTGATAGCTCACCACAGTTCTAGTGTAGAAGTTTTTGGGTGGAAGGGGATTGGATGTAGGAGGTACTTTCCATTCTGCATATCAACGGCTGTTTAGTCTCCAAATGAGAGATTTGAGCAGCATTCTTGGGAAAACTGTGTATGAGAAAAACTTGCACTCTTGAAGACTTGGGAACTTAACTACTGAAGGTCATGGGCCAAATTGTTGTATATCTAAATGCCATAGCAACTTTAGACAGGCAACTTGGCTTTTATTATAGTTTCTTGTAATGAGCGAGGAGGGAATTATTTGGATGACAGGCTGATTACCTTAGGAATGGAATAATTTCCTAAATTGTGGGTCAGAACATTGACCTTTCCTTTTTCTCTTACTCAAACAAATGGGATCTCTCTGTTTACTCCCCTTCTACAGATCATGCAAATGAGCTCAAAGTGACTAATTCAGCTTAATGTGTTAATATTAATTCTGAAGCTTATTGTTGCTTTTGTGGGAGTGTTCTGTTGTTAAATACATAGGTGACCAAATGTTTTATTTTAGGTATGTACTTTAAAAAAATTGGCCCAGAGTGGTTTTGAATCTTTTTTTTTGGATTTTCCATCATCTAGTCCAAGACACAGACTACACATGTAGTCAAGATCACAATGCTTGGAAAGGATAAAGCAATGATCTCACCCATTTCAGCAGTTCACAGTCATTTCGGTGTTAAGGAACCAAAACCCTCTCGCTTAAGCAGTGTGCATTACTTTAACATATGAGTCTAAAATGATGGGCTTTGTTAAGACACTCTCTCAAAACAGATCCAGATGTATTATTAAATACCAGTGACACAAAAAACTGCAAAAGTGGTTTATAACACATGTGCAAGAAAATATTCAGATAGATGCATCAACATCTTTTCAGTCTTCTCCATCTGTAAACTGTTGGTTGCAAAGCACAGCACTGAGAAGTGCACCTGTACGTGGACTGGTGTTGAAAAGTGTGTTTTCACCTGAGGGAGATGGCTTGCGCAGCCTATATAAACAAAAGGGTTTACATCCAGAGAAGCCTCTGAGCTGCAGGACAGCAGCCAGCTCTGACCTGGTTTGGGTAGAAAGAGAGGAAAAAAACATATGCGGAGAAGTGTGCTAGGAGGTGATAAGTAGTTTGCATTTCTCATTAACAAGCTGATGGGAAGGTTGAGGATAGGGAATAAAGTGCTGATGTGATGTGGGACTATTGGTTACTTTAAGCAAGTGTAAATGAACGGAAAGTTTGCGGTGTAAGTAATGGATACTGACAGAAATCTGGTAGATCTGAGGATATACAGAGGAGCTCGATAGCTCAGCAACCAACTAATATATTATCAAAATGATCCTGTGAACGTCACCAACTCCAATCCGTCCCAGATTATTAATGGCCCGTGACACAGGAGTCCAGCTACCTATGACAAATACCTTCAGTCTCCTCCAGGGCTTGGAGGCAGATCTCCGTACCGTGGAGCGGTACATCATGCTGGCTCTGAGCGATACCCATGGCAGAGAGACTGGCGCCTGACCCCATCCCTTTCTGGCTGTTCCCATCAGGTGAAGGTTATTTCTCTGTAGATGAGCAATGCCACAGAGCTGGACTTCTTGCCTGACTGTGTTTGCTCTGCCAGTAAACAAAATACTTGACCGCCTACGAGTGTTCATACAGCATCAGGCAGCTTAACAGACACAAAAAGTGATAGCCCTGCAATGAGATGACACCGTCTATTAAGCAGTGTAACATTTCTGCTCAAGGCCATTTGAATGACACACCATTAAGTTTTAATAACTAACTAACTATCGCAGCATCTCTAAAACCCACTAGTTCTGCAATTGTGTCAAAGCTTTATGGAAAAGGTTTTTGCATTTGTTTATTTTAAGATAACTTTCTCAGGCTTCATATTTTTTTTTCCTCTTGCATGGCTTTTTTATTTTTCGTGTTTCAAAACACAAGGTACAAGAGAGTTTCAAGGGCAATACTGTATGCCTGATGTTACACAGGGAAAAAAAAAAGAAAAATAACATGAAATATGATTAATCAATTTCAGTCCTGATGGTGTTAATTCCACTCACAGTTTGCAGAAATGTGTATCTGGGCATGTAGAATTTCATGGAATCACAGTATGTCTGCTAATATTTAAGGCACTTGCTGTTGCTATGACATTTTTATACCAATGCAGGATTCTTTTGGGGCTGATTTTTCTGTTCAGTATCAAAGTTGAGACTCTAGTTTTTCTTCTTTTCTGGGTAGTATTGGGTCTGCTGAGTTTTATCCTTGCTCGCACCAGTCCTGGTGTTTGGCGGATTTTGGTTCTAATTTGTTCCATAGCTTGTATGTTTGCCTAGTCACATCTTAATTAAGAGATCCCCCCCTTCAATTAAAAAAACACAGCATTATAGCCCTAGATGTCATGGGAGTGAACAATCCAATTAAAAAAGAGAATATTAAATGCATGGAAAACACTACAACTGCTTGCTAGTCCTACTCGTAGAAGCACATCGACTATCAAAAAACCCTACAAAGATACAGAGAGTACAAAAGTTGGTGGTTTATTTCTTCATCTTTAATAAAAAACATCAGTGCTAAAAATGAAAAGTGGCAATTTTCATTAGAAACACCTTCTTCTCCAGTCATCCCAGATCTGTTTGGATGGTGGGAGAAAATTGACATTGAGAGAGCAGCTGAGCAAACTCCACTTTAAATATTTAGGAGACAAATGAAAAGATTTTTTTTTCCTAGATATAATAGCTAATTGGGTCAAAATAAATATCCTACCTGACTTGTCTGAGTAAAGCTTTAATTGCATGCACAAATTTGTGAAGGGTAAATAACTGCATGATTTTCACAGAGGAAAGACTCCAGAGGTCCTAATAACATACGTAGGTATGGCTTGATGGATAAATGCTGAGGAAATTTAGGGACTATGCTTGTTTTTTCTGCTATGTGTTGGTGTGCAGATCTTGTCTCTAAGACAGATTTAAAGAAAAAAAAAATTCTTATTTATCTGTTTGTGGTACTCGTTTCCTATCCCTGTATTCAAGTCCTTCACCTGTTGAAAGATGTAACGAATTCTAAATAATCTAAAATTCTTTTAGAAAAACAGAACCCTGTTTTTTATTTGTGTAGCTTCCAGTGTAACATATTTTACCTGGAAAAATGAATAACAGACTGTATTCAAAACAAACATTTTAAAGTTTATATCAGCTTGTAAATTATGTAGAATTACTCGACACATTAAGGAGAAAGAAGAGTAGTATATTAAATCTTTCAGTTATGAATCCATTGCAAGAGTCTTTTTTAGGATATTTAATTCAAGATAGTAGGCAATATCTCATGGAGTGTTGCAGTAGACAAAGATTACCTTAGGAACTAAATTGCTGTTTCTCCTACCCCAACCTCTTTCAGACAAGAAACCAAAATTTCTCAGGGCAGCCTCTCCACAGGTACTTTGCCTTCAGCTGTGTAGTTAATATCCATTCAATGTCAAACCTGGGAAGGATTTCATGAAATATCAGTGATTTCTTGCCAAGACTTAGATTCTAACTTTAAAATTTTGTATTTTAAACTTTTTTCCCCCACTAGTTTCAGTCTAATAATTTATGTGAAACAGAAAATGAAGACAGAATATTTTTAAAAGAAATTAAATAATTTTGGTTTGTAAACAATCATATTTGTAGCTCACAGGCATGCAGTGCATATAAATATCCTGGGCAGCATTTCAGGGCGACGTGGTTTGTTTCTAACATACGGAAGGTTTTCTTTCTGCTGCTGCTACACACGGAATGAAAATCCTAGTCCCATACCATGCCATTCGGCTTTCTACATATACAGCATGGAAAGATACATGAAGGGATGGGATTTTCTTATTATATGGTGTTTTAATTAATGCACACACCTGTTGGCACTTTTTAAAAGAAATATTGCTATATGTTCTGTTCACCATAGCAACATAAACAAAAAGATGGAAATAAAAATAGTCTTCAGTGACATCTCCCAGAACCATTGAATGTTTTTTATCATTCTGAATTTTGATATGCACAGTTACTGGACTGTCTGTCATCTGTGCCAAGTACCTTTACACATAAAGAAGGCAAGGTCATTTAATCTTATCTAATTCTAATGAACTGTAAGAACCACAGACTTTTTTTGGGTCTCATGTCTACCAGCTTCCCAGGTAAGCTTGAAACTTCTTGGTTAAACACAGAGTTTAACCTGGAAAAAAATTAACACATTAATAGTAAATTGAGGTCTTTTTTAATAACTGGGAAAATATTGAGGGACATGTTCCTTTAGTAATCTCCTTATTAATATTTCTGTACCAGCACAAAGGAGTTCTATGAGTTTCAGTAAGCATTTCTTCCAGCTTCTCCCTATGGCAGTAGGCTGTGAGGCAGGTGTGTCACCTCAACTGGTGGATCTCCTGTCGCCTGAACTGGTTGGATCTCCCTGAAAACCCAGTGCCCTGGATTACCCCCATGATCTTCCACACTGTGGGGAAAGAAACTGTCTGGGCAGCCACTGGTTTAGCTAGGAAAGAGAGAAGGGACCTTTATCCCTAAAACAGGCTGCCCTTTACTGCTGATAGTGGCCAGTGCAGCCTGAGCCGTGGGGGTACGTTCTCTGTGAAAGGAAGAAGTGTTGTTTGCATAAAGCGAGAAATCTGTAGCAACTTTTAACTTCTCAGCCCTGGTTTTAAATTAATGCCTCTTTGAGAAGAGCACTGTGTAATTTCATGTATCTTAAAGCACAATTTTACGTGCTGAATATTGTTTAACAATGCTGAATGCAGTAACTATCATTGCCACTTAAAGGTATTGTGGAAGACATGAACATACATTTATTGTATAATGCAGCCTTGTTGTTATTGTGGCCTTGACCGCATGATGATTTAAAAGGTCAGTGCTTGTCATACATCTCATTGCAAACAAGGCCAAAGTTCTTATCAATCTGTTCTGTGAAGACCGAGCTGTTGCCAGATTTGCTGGATGATTTCAGGTTGTTATAATTGTACTTAGCCTTGTGTTGATATCAGTGTTACGGTGTTATGTATATGCCTCATACATGGTTTTTTGGTACTGTTAAAAGAGGTGACAATAATTCAACTTTTTTTTTTATTACCTCCATTTTGTGCTGGCATAAATGGGGTATGCGTGTATGTAGATGCATGTTTCTGTATATTTTTTATAGAAATATATATGTATAAAGGTATACTTTGGAGATTGAGACAAAATCACCAGTTAGCTTTTGAAGTCTAAGGTTACTTATGATATAAATACTTTTGGTTTAGATACTTTAATCAAAAGCATATTGAAAAGATAAATCACTGTATGGAGATTTTCATTTTTCTGAACAATTGAAGGATCCAAAAAGGAATATGTTAAGTCTTTATATCATCATAACCATGTATCAAGGGCATTCATTATAGTATCACTGAGATTTTTAATGAAAAGATTTGAAAGAAAAGCCTTTTCATTAATAAGATCGTTGAATGTACCTTTCTGTGTGTATATATGTTACAGAATACGTGATTACATACAGATGAAGTATTTTTATGTCTCAGTGCCATATTTTTAGATGCTTGAAATCAGACAGCAGATTCAATTATACGAATAGCTTATTGTAGATGTGAACAACATGCAGACAGCACTCTAAAGAAGCATCCTTTTCAGATTAGTTAAGTATTGCAAATCCACTTAATGTAACAGGGCATACAGGTACTTACATCTCCAGAATATCAGATAATGGATTTTAGATGTTTGCATTTGGACCCATCAAGTTATAAATGTTGTCCATTAGATGAAATTCTTTGTGAACTACTGAGAATCCAGTCCTGACTCTTCAGATCCAGTCATTCTGGGCATGCGCTGCAGCAGGCAGACAGACATGATAGTCCCTGCCTCTAATTAACCATTGGTTCCCGTGTGCATTAAAAAAAAGTCTCTGAAGCTACATTTCAATCTTAGTCCATTCATAGCCCATTAGGGCTTTCAAAGCCTCTGTCTCTTTAGTAAAGACTTTTGTGGTAACTTCAGCTCATGTGTGTGTGTGTATTTGCATTCATGCTTTCTGGAAGATGCATTTTAGTGTCTTGCATAAACCTAAATGGAAGAGCAGCTGAGTTCTAGCTCCACCTGTTTGATAATTTAACCGTTCCCTGTGCTGTAAAATGCTTGTCTGTTGTATTTAAAGTGAACTGAAAAAAGTGAAACTGTGTTTTCAACTAAAACGAAGCAATTTTGATTTCCTGTCCTATCTACAATGACTACTTTCTCACATATGTCATATCTGTAGCTGTCCAGCTGTATGCAAGCTTTCTAACAAGGTTAAAGTGGAACCCATGGAATGAGGAAATTTGCTCTAAAATCTTAGTTTAAATGTTTTTTTCCCATATGGAGAAGTTGAGATGGGAACCTCTAGGTTTCCCGCTGGTTCTCTGTAAGCTGCTTATAACCACACAGGAGAGAATTCACAAATAAATCTTGTGATTTTCAGGTAATCACTCACTTCCATAAGCTGAGCCCTTCAATAAAATACCAAATGTCAGAAGACTCTCAATAAAGTCAAGAAAGTTAGAAATGTTGACATATGCAATAACTGGAACTCTCCTCTGTATGTGTTGCCCTTATTTAATATAGTAGGAAATCTCCAGGGGGATAGTTGGTTTGGACATACATATGTACAGCTTATTCATCACTAAGAATATTTCCCACAAGGCTGACATATGATCCTGTTTTCTCAACTTGTTGCTTGATCATACAATTCCTAAAGCATTTTTCGTTACAAATGCGATTTTACTGATGTTTTTATGGTGTAAATCTATTCTGAAGTAGACATCCATGTTGCATTAAGGCTCCTCTGAAACAAGTTCTCTGTTACTCATAGTCTGTGCTTTCTGATTCTTTTGCCCAGTAATCTTCTTGTAATGGTAAAGGCAATTGTTCACCAAATTGTATCTATCTGTTAGATTCTGAGCTGAGACTGATGCTGTGTCTCAAGTGTATTGTTATTGAAAATGAAGTTTCTAAAAGTTGTACACCTGTTTCAAATCTGTTGTGTTTCTGGCTACCTGCAGGTACTTGACTATATAGTAAGGCAAAAGAGAAGTTTGTGTCACAAATGGGAACTTCTTAGTTTCTAAAACTTGTCTTCAATATATGAAGCTTTTGAAAAGCCTTTTGTTTTGCAGGTATTTTTCAGCCATTAATATATCTTTCTGCTGCAGAAATTATAATGGCAAAAAACAAGAGAGAGGTGCGTTTTGAGGGAAGATACAAATAAAAAGGCAAAAGTGCTTTAACAAAAGCAGATCTGAGATAAACTGTTTCAGTCCCAGGCTCAGACAAGTAGTTATGCTCCCTAACCTCCCAGTAATTAGACTTATGTGCTTTGAATAGAACTGGTAATTTTAAGGAGACAAAACATGTTCTGTTTCTTTGTTAAGTGAAACCTTAATATTAAAACAACAAGAAAAGCCCGTAACATTCTTTGACTTCTGTGGCACCCGATTTTGCAGCTCAAAATCACAAAATTTGGAGAAGGTATTAATGTAAAATGAGAAGTGATATCTCTACTAAAGTAAACTCTTTCAAAATCCAATGATCTTGACTGGTAATGCTCTGTATTCCCAGAAAGGCCATCCATTTTCACCGTGCTCTTAGTATTGGCCTCAAAGTTTCAAATTGTCGCCTTGTTAAGATGTTATCTAAAATCCTTCTGAGAGATACAGGATTCCCCATGTCCACAAGAGACTTGCTAAATTTATCTACTTGATTATATTGAACCAGCAAATGTTTCTCTGTCTCTCAGAAAAGCAAGCGGTGCATGTCTGGACCAACAGCAAAATAGAATGGCTCTGCTAAGGGCGAGCATCTCTTGAGTGTACCGGTGAGGTTCGAAAGAGCTGCTGTGCTCCCTCCTCCCTCAGATCCTCAGAGGGGTGTAAAACTTAACATTACCATGGCTAGGCTAACTTATGGTGTCTGAAGATCTCTTCCACCAACTGAATTTAAATTTCAGTGTTACTATAAAAGCATAACCTATTCTGGACCAATATTTTCCCGATACGCCCCAGAAATGTTAGGTCAGAAACAGAATCTGTGGCACAGGCCAATGTTATGGGTGAGAATTTAACCTGATTATTACGAAAGAGCTACCTGAACCGCATGTTGAAACAAATACAACTGTATGTGTACCATAGCAATTTAAATGTTTTAAATGATTTAAATGACTTAAATGATTTGTGGGTATTGTTCTGCTTTGTTTAAGACATTTTCATTTTCATTTTGTAGCCGAGCACCAAGACGTACTCGCAGAGTGGCAGACACTCAGTATCAGTAGAGGTTCAAATGCAGCGACAGCGGCAAGAAGAAAGAGAGAGTTTCCAACAAGCTCAGCGGCAGTACAGCTCATTACCCAGGTATGGTAACTGGCTGAGGCTCTTCAGTGAATATGAGCCTGGAGATAATTTGCTTTGTGGGAGGAAAATGTTGTACTTAGTGCAGACAGTTTTGTTTAGCATTGATATAAGGTGGAATGTATTCATTGTGGAAGAGGCATAAAATTTCTTAAGTGAGAGCATGTGGTAGCTGTTTATTTTAGGAGAATTACTTCAGAGCTGATTTTGGTGGGATTGATGACACTCAGCACCCAACAGAACTGAAACGTTGAAACAAAGCTATTCTTTGTGGGACACCGTTGATTTTAATTTTCTGTAATTACAAAAGTCTCCTGAGCATGACATGGGCTGTCCCCTTTTGACATGTCAGTCGATTTTTTTCTGTTGCCTAATTCCTTGCTGGGTAGAAATTCTGTCTTTGTGATGCTAATACAGAGGAAAAATTAAAAGGGAAAAAAAAATCTCAAGACCTCAAACAAAGAAATATAGAACTGAGAAATTCTAGCCAAAAAATCAGGGCCTTGAAGTTTCCAGATTATACATTTATTCTAAGTTACTGGGTCATTAGCAATGGAATGCTGAAAATTAATAGACTTTTTGTATAAACAAATCTGTATTTGTCTGAGCTGTTTGGGCAAAATGTCTTTTACTTGTTATTTAGCTTTGAGAATTATTAAAAGTTTACCCAGCTTGTACTGTAAATTAACTACCGTAGGTAAGCGTTGTGCAAATGGTCTTTGCGTTTTCAAAGATCAGTTGCAATGGTTGAATGGAGAATCCTTTACACTGGAGGTTGGTGTCAAATTCCCTTGCAGCATGGTTGTATTATTTTTTGTACCTCATGTCAAAATGGTGTGGAACAGATTTTTTTGTGACAACATGTGTTTTACCAAATGTATCATAACTTGTTTTTGGAAACAGATAGAAGCTTTGTAATCAAAATTATCTGATCATGAACTCTTATCCTACCAACATCTTAGTGAATAGAACAGATCTCTCAGATTTTCACGTGCTATAACACCTTTCAGTGTAGGTTTTTTCTTTTAAGTTTGAAAGGTGGGAAAGCAAAATGTAAAACTACTGTGTTTTCTTAGATCGATGGTTTGTCATTTTGAAAATTTTTGTATTCGCTTTGATTCTTATCTACCTTCCTTCTGAAGTAGTCACACCTATTAATGCCATATTGTTTTTCCTGAGAAATTCTCTTTCAGTTTTGCTCACCCCAGCGATGTACAGATTGAGAGGAAGAGCACCGATGCTAGCGTTGCTTTTAAGTTGGTGGGGGAATTTTTTTTTTTAAACTATGATTTGTAAAACTCAGTTCCCCTGTTCTATTCAATCACTGGTAGCATTTAAAAAATGGAAGTCAGTTGTAATGCAGTTGCAGTGGCCGAAATTAATAACTCTAAGGAGAAAATGTAGAAGAGGTTTGGGAAATAATGCTTTGGGACATAGAAATGCTTGTTTTGAAAAGAGTGACTAGAACTTCACTCAATGTGTGTTTCAACATGAGAAATGACTAGCAAGCTAGCAATGCATGTTACTGAGTAAATAATGATAATTTAATGACTTTGCTTGAGCACTCTGGATATTTGAGCTGTGCTGAGAGCAGACAGAATTTCAAGACCTTGGGCTAAAGCTGAGTGCTGTAAATACCACGATACTCCTATAACAAGCTGGGGCATCCAATTCTCCAGCTTTACAAACTGTTTGTAACTTTGTGACTGATCTTTAAAGAAATCTTACTCTTACTCTGAAACTTAGGTCACAAGCCTAATGTTGTAACTGCAGCTTTGTTATGATTAAAGTTTGTGCACTAGCTTTATTCTTGAGTTTTGTTGCTTTTCATCTTGTGTAGTCTCTAGGAGCCTCCTTTTTTTCCCTTTGTACATTCAAATCATTAGTACTGAAGGCAAATAAAGTCTTGAGTCAATTTTAAAGGATCTTCCCAGAAAGACAAGGAAAGTGGGCCAACTGATTTTGAACAAGTACCAGAAAACAGTCAGTAAATTAAATCAATTCATCTCATATCCTCTTGTCCCATGTGAAACTGTAAAAGCAGTGTTTAACTCCAAGTTAATTTTCTAGTACTTAAAATTTATCTTGCTCTAGATCAGAAACCTGACAGTTTCGTAGCCTACAGAGGTTCGTTCGATTTGCTCTTGTTCCAGGGAGTGATAAGACATGACTCAGAAACATCGTTTCTTTGGCAAAGTTGGATATGTGAATACCAAGAACAGCTATAAAAATTTGCATAATAATTTACGCTATGTTGTAATTTATGCTGTAATAATTTATATTCATCCTGAATAACAATTTTCATCAAGAAGTCTCAAAACATTTTATGAAATAAGGTGAATATGGTCATTTTCAAACTATATGTGTGGAGGGAAGATTGCAAAAACATTAGGTGACTTTTTACCTATCCTTAATGGTAGAAAAATTCTCTGGATCTCCTGTCTCTCCACTGCATATTCATTGGACGAAGCCACATTGAGTCATGTGTGTTGACATGAAAAAGCCATATATAAACAACTAAATTACATTCTTATTGATTAATGTCGCAATATATTTTGTTTTACTGCTTGAGTCTAGTACACTAATTTTAATCTCAAAGTGAGTATCTTTTTTGCTGCAGCACAAAATTGTTTTACTTTATCATCACCAATCTTATTTTAAATTCATAAAAGCATCTAGCATCTTGATAGTAAATTAAAGCTATTTCAAAACTATAATCTGTCTTCAAAATAATGTGATGATTTATTGTGAAAAGAGATAAGAGTTTGTAATTCCTATATGTATCTGATTTATTTATCTACCCCGTGGAGCCAAAAAATGAGCAAGAAAGGTTATCTCTGCCTTTTCTTTTGTGAAAGAAAACTGGGAAACTGTCCTGATAGCACAAAATTCCTTAGTTTTGGAAATCGGAGGAAGAAACTCTCATCTGTGTAACTACCTGTCAGTAGTGAACTTTTATCTTCTGACTTGTACAGTGTTAGAGCACGTGTTTTAAAGATCTGCCTGTTGCATTTTTAATCAAGCATGAGTCTAGATTCAAATCTTTCATGAGTGACTTTACAAGCGCTGGCTGTTATCTGGATTCTTAGTAAGCACAGCATTGTGGTCTTTCCTAGTCTGCAGCTGAATTGTAGCACTTTTTTTTATAGAACATAATGGTTGTTCTAGCACTGGGTGGGTTTTCACGGCATATTTCTCTTAGAGAGACCTAGATATATAGTTCAACTCAGTAGGAAATGTTCTCCCAGCAAGAGAGGCAAGATGCCTCTTTGGGGCAGAAGAGAGCAGGACTTCTGGAGAACGCTAAAGCTGGGAGAAACCTGATGGCATTGCAGAAGCACCCTGCTTTCCTGAGACTGTTGTCAATAACAGTATAACGGAAACCAGAACATTCATCTTAAAAGCCTCTTCCATTTTTCTTTCCAGGCAAAGCAGAAAAAACGCCAGTTCTGTATCTCAAGACTCCTGGGAACAGACGTATTCCCCTGGTGAAGGGTTCCAGACTGCGAAGGAAAATCCCAGATATTCCAGCTACCAGGGATCAAGGAACGGCTATATGGGGGGACATGGCTTCAATGCCAGGGTAATGCTAGAAACACAAGAACTGCTCCGTCAAGAGCAGAGGCGGAAAGAACAACAACTGAAAAAAAAAACTTCTTCTGAAGGACCTAGCAACTATGACTCATATAAGAAAATTCAGGACCCTAATTATACCCCTCCTAAAGGTCCTTTCAGGCAAGATGTACCGCCTTCACCATCTCAGGTAGCCAGGCTGAACAGATTACAAACACCAGAAAAAGGAAGACCATTTTATTCTTGAGGTGAAGAAAATGAAGATCAACTTATCATGCAATAAGGAACGTTTTCATATAAAGACTTATATTTTGAAAACTTTTTAAACTGATAGTACTAAGGAATATATCCGTTGTCTGTTTCAGTGCCTTTGAAAATACGGGCAAAGCATTGGTGAGCCTTATGTCTTTGCCATTCTGTCTCAAGTGTTGAATTCATGGAAGGATGTTCCACCATTTGACAATCATGGCGGAAGTGAGCAACGCCACGTACCGAGTCCCATAGCCCAGTCCGGTAGTTGTCAATGGCTTATTACTAGGATTTGTTGTAATGTGTTTTACTTTGCAGTGACTTATTACACCAACATGCAGCTTTGTGGCTTAAAATTAATGAATTTGAGGTTGAAGAAAGCATTGACATGTCCTTTTTTATTTCTCTCCGGTCAAGAGGAGGTTTACATATCACTCTTGAATGGATAAGGCTTAGTTCTACTCTGGATTGCAGTCACAGTTCTAAGATGTTTTATGATGAAGTCATTACCAGTCTTCGTTGATCAATATTTAAGTGTCTATATGCTGAAAAACTATCCTTCTCCTATTATGCACATACACACTCTTTTTCTCTCTCTCTCCCCACTCTGAGCTTATTAAAAAAGCCTTTATCCTGACTCATGAGGAAAACAATATTAAGCTTTCTGTTATCCTGAGAATCCTGTTACAATTGCCTTGTAATCTTAATACAAAGTCCATTACAAATGAAATAACTGGGAAGAGACTATTTATACAGTCACAGCCAAGCCCTTGATAAGTATATTTTACTATTTTATTAAAGATAAGAAATGATGAACAAACATACAACTGAGTTCTGCTTTGCTTTACTTCTAGATGAATTTGGTCATATGACAACTGTGTTAGGAAGAGAGCTGGGGAGGGTATCATCCCATGGTCATCTGGTACATGGTTGTCTTTGGGCAAATTTTGGAGATAGCTTAAAGCAAGAACCGGAGAAATCAAAGTTTATCTTTGGATCAAAAAAATGAAAAGAAGAATTGTCTTCTTTTTACAGTTGGTGAAGCTTTGTGGACAATTGCCTTGTGCTTCTGTGTACTGTACTGTTGCATCGTGATGCGTTAAAAACAAACCGTTAAGTATATGAATGAGAGATAAGTGGAGACAAATTGTTACACATCGTCTTGAAAATATGTCAGTATCCAAAAATAACTAAAGCAAAAAAGATTGCTCTAGCAATGAATAATATTTGAATGTGCATATAGGATATGAGAATTTCTTTTGCAGCAGCTGTTTTTATGTTGTTGGTCTGAACTTCATGTATTGTAAAAAATATAGCTGGGTTGCTGAAGTGCCTGCAAATCCTGATGTGAAAAGGCTTGAGAATGGATCTCAGCATATTGTGTACAAAAAGGAAAGAGAGAAAGCAAGAAAGAAAATCATGTATTGCGTGATTTAAAAATCGCCTATTTTTTTTTACTGGCACATTTTATTTTTGCGCCAACTTGTTTCTAGAATATATGTGAAATATCAGCACACATATCTGTCTTTTATGCCTGTTTGTTAACAGTTTTTGTTGTTAATAATGTACTCTGTGTTTAAAAGTTGTTACTAGTGTAAGCACAGTGACATTGGATGACAACAGCTCTTTTACGCAGAATTTACAAAACTGTGTAAAACAGCTTTCCATGTACATATGAAATTTAGAATAAAAGGCTGTTTCCATCCTTGTCTTTGTATTGCCTGTAGACCCTTATGAGAACTGCTGCAGACATTGAGTTTAACAAATATTTAACAGATGTTATTTTATCCTATTCCTAATGGTTTGCGTGTGTCTTTCTGTGAGCGCTTATAAACATCAGCGGAAAAAGAGAAAAAAAGAAAAGATTTACAGCCCAGCTGAACACCTGAAGACTATTCTCAGAGGGAAAAAACACTCAGTCTAACGTCTTGTGTTATTTCAGGCCATATCTGTGACATTTAAAAGGTACATTCTTAAGACTAAGCTCTGTGGCAAAAATCTTTCTGGCCGTAGTGTGCAGTCCTGTCCCCGAGGAGAGCGCTGGCAGGAGAAGGGCACCTGTTGTCCTCTGGCCAAATCCTGGCACGTGTGAGGAAGCCCCCTCTGCTCTGAGTGTGTTTTGGGCTCTGATGGGAGCCCTTCACAGGAATGCTGACATGGTGAAAAATAGGAGAAGGCAGATTTATGAATAAAGCAATATTTATGGTGCCAGTGATGCTCTGTTTCCCCCATTAGTATTGGAGCTGTGTCTGGTTTTCTCCCTCTTCCCCTCATTCCTCTTTTTGGTGAATACTGCAGGACTGTCAATCATAATTCTGTGTATGCATGACATCAGGCTGTTGCCATGGCAATAATGGTGTCAAATTATTCACTGTGACTTTGGTGTGGGATCTCAAGAGGAAGAGTAGCAGGAGCCGCAAGGTGGACAGGCAGCTTTCGGTGCCCAAATAAACTAAAGGTAGGATTTTGCAAAAGAACTAAGTTGTAGTAGCTCGCAGTTGCAAGTGGGGAAATAACTGCATTTGCAGTTTTGGAGACCTTGCTGTCTCATCTCCTGACTGCATTCCCAGATTACACAGTTTGATGTTTCTGTGGAATTATTTGGACAAGCAAATAATTGCAAGCACTAAAAAATGCATCCACAGGAATGGAAAACAGGTTGAAGTCCTTTTCAAAATAAAGTCCTTGATAAACTGTTGTAGTAAAAAGGGCATATGTTTGGAAAAGTATGAGGTATGGGATGTTTTACATGTGAGGATGGCATATGTTAAAGTTTACCCTTCTATGAAACTCCTCATCAAGGTGTTAACAATTTGCCTTAATTAGATGTGTTCATGAAAGAAGACAGATGTTCTCTTTGGGCTGTGTCTGTGTTATGTTAGTAAAGAATAAGGTCTTTTTATGGCTCCGTCATCCTGTCTTCTTCCTGACATAGCGTAGACAGGATTTCTAATATTAACTCCCATAAGTTGCAAAGGGCAATAAGGAAGTGGGAGGGACATATTTTAATAGAAAATGGCCTTTAGTTCTGCATAGTGAATAGATTCAAAAGTTAATTGAGCTAACTACATTACTGCAGTAATTTGTTTGTGGACGCATTACCATTATGGGATTAACTCTGTAAGATTAGTGTATTTACGAATGGCCACAGAACAGACTAAGGGAGCTTACAGCATTGAGGAGTGGGTGTAAAGCTTGCACATTTTTCTCTGCTGAAACCCTAAAAAAAAAGTCTGAAAAGCCTGCTGGTCTTTTATCAAAATAATTTGTTAATGCTATTGAAATTCCATGGGAAAGTTTAATATTACTAATGCAGAAGACTGCTGCCTTTCTAAAAAAAAAACCCTACATCCCCTCTTCCTATAGGGCCTCCTTGGAAACAAGAGTGCAGCCCTACTGAGTTATTGCATGGGCCAGATAGTTTAATATATGTCTTTGAGAACTGTGCCATCAAAAACAGCAAAGAATGGCGCAGAGCCCAGCTGAGCATGGTCGGAAAGTACAATTGCCATTTATTGCTGGCAAACAGCAGGAAGAACAACAAAACAAAATTCAAACCCATCATGACTGTAGATATATGGCCTGCCTTTCAAAGCTGTGCTGATGTTTTGCTCACGTTCGCTCTGTTTATGAGTGTCTGTAACATTGCTTTTATCTGTGCCGGGTATGTTGAGAAGCGCAGGGAAGAAACCTTGGCCAGACAAGGCAGAGATGCGCCAGATTAGCCATGTTGGCTAAACACAGGATATTCTTGAGTAATTCAAACCTTTGAACTTCTGTTGTTGAGACTTAAAGTGAATTTGGCTATTACGTGTCCTGGCTTGCAATTCTATTTTCGAAATATTTCCTAATTCTGTTTGCTGTGCCTGACTGTTTCTACATCTTTCTCTCCCGAGTCCTCAGTCTAGTACATAGGAATTGTGAGGAATCTGCCAGGAATGTGAACAGAGAACACAACTCATCTATTTTTTATGCTGCCATCGTGCCACCACACCCTGGCCTTCCAGACTAAATTTAAAGTTCAGCCCTAAGCTGACAGAAGAACGAGGGTCAGAAATCCAGGATGAGGGTCTGACTTTACGAAAGTAGATTTTGTGTGTGTGTGTGCATGTACACACATGTGAGAGAGAAAGAAAGGCATGGACTGGATTCATTTGCCTTTAATTCATGTCCAGCTTGAAACGCTTTTCAAAATATCTTGTAGCATTTCTTCTGAGTTTTTTCCATCTGTGCAGAAACCAGCTGATGATTTGATGCACATGGTTATTGTTTCATGCCCTCTCGTACGTCTCTTCTATTTTGTATCAACATCACACTCTCTCTTTCACATCTGCTGATTAATTCTGTTGCATTTATTTGTTTCTCTAAATGACATGCAATTCATTCACATCCTAGGCTGCTGCTTGCCAGTGACTGATATTTCTCTCTTAGCTTTGCAAACTTAGTTTAATATTTTTCTGTCCTTGGGAGTAGTGTTATCTTTTTTAATTTACACTTTAATCCCATTTTAAAAATTGAGACTGGAAGTTTGAGTTGGGATTACGCAAAAAAAGACTAAAGAGTATGGCTTTGATTTCTATTCTATGTGTAGTGCACACTTCCCAGGCAGTTGTAGGGACAGAGTGCTGTCTGAATGAGATGAAGAAAAACAGCTCTGGAGAAAAAAAGTTCAGGAAAGTTTTGAAAATATTTATGCCCGCTGCATGCTATCTACTGTGAAAAAATAATGATTCCTTAGAAGTGTCACTCTGTCTGAATGGCTGATGGTTTCAGAGCCCAGACAGATGTGACTTGTGGTTTAAAGATGGCCAGATGGAAGAGGAAGCTGCTTACGCCCCTCCAAAGGATGCCAGGACCCTCTTCCCTTGCAAATTGGCTCCCAAGATACTGTTTTCAGCTGCATATCTTACAGCAGCTATGGTCTGGAATGGGCTTACGTTCACACAGCGAGCTGAAAACTGCAGTGACATCTGTCAGAGAGGGAGGGATGACAGCCACGGGTGATAACAGCTGTGGTTATCTGATTTTAATCCGCTTGTTTGTTGGAGTAATTTTTGTCTTAGGAAAATAATGAAAGAAATGAAGAGTGAGGCAGTGAAATGTGAGCATAAAGGTTCTCCATTTCCTTTCCACTATTGTCACCTCTACAACAGCTGGTAGTTAGTTGCCTTGTTTACCACTTTATGCCCTAAAGGCATAAAAAGGATAAACTAGCCAGCAGTAACCTCAGCGCAAATCTCACAACCCTCCTAGAGATTTACTCTACTGCGTAGCCCATATGTGTGAATTAACAATGCAACAAGGAAACAACTTTACTGTCCCTCCATTATTTCCTCTGTGGATTTCCCTGGGATGTGTTTAGATTGTCACTCCTTGGGACTAGGGGCTGTGTTTAGTATTTATCCTATATAGAACAGAATACTATTGTTGACAGTAAGAGCTAGTAAATATTTTTGGGATTTTTCAGTGTGAAAGGAACTTTTTTAAAGGTGTTTTATATGCATTTTTACAACAGGTGCATGACTGTCCCATGCTGGATGTATTCCTAGTCCTACCAATTTTCTTATTTGTAAGTACAGAGCATATTGCTGGGACCACTAATAGCTGGGGAGTTGCTACCTTTGGCAGTTAAAATGATCTCTTGATTTAACTTAGGGGCTACTTTTTTAAAGCTTTTGTAGAGGAAGAGAGAGATCTCTTCTTC